ACCTTCTCTCTCTCTCTCTCTCTCTCTCTCTCTCTCTCTCTATATATATATATATATATATATATATAATGGAAATTTAACCACTAAAAAAAGTGTAGCCTTATACAACAAACCACGAAAAGAAATTATACATTGAAGTTTGCGTCAAGAATACTTAAAATAATGTGCTTTATGTAAATTTTATAATAATTTGTACTTAAAATCTAATTTCGTAATGGATTAAAAAACAAATATAATTAATTAAAAATAATAAAAAATGCATTATTTAAAATATATAAATATAAACTATAATCAAACAGTAAATAAAATAAAATTAATCAATTTAAATTTGATATTTTTAGTTTTTTTTTATTTTGAAATGTTTTTTATCCTAACTTATTTTCCAAATATACTAATATCTAAATAAACAATTTATGTTATATCAATCAAACTTACTACAAACTTTTTACAAATACGTGAAGACTAATAAAATGTGTTAAAATATGTATTATGTATGAAATATGAAGAAGAAAGGGAATAATGGATATTCTTAAAAGTTATAGAAAATTTAATAAAATAACACATGAATATTTTATTGATAAAAAATTAAAATATAAATAGAATATTTTTATTTTCTCTATAGCATATAAAATTCATTTATTTTTCTTAATTAGAGCGGAATCATAATAGAGAGTATTTCAGCTTCATATAATCAAAATCTAAGTTATTTTTTTAATCTTTTTCCAGTATCAAATAATGCTTTTGGTTGCATGCGAGCAAGATGGAGTCGCATGTGATTTAATCCTACTCAATTTGTCTCTCTCCTTACTCATGATCCTAGAATACCTTTCGAATCATGGATTTTATGTGAAAATAGATTTACTTCTGGATTTGAGCAGTTGAAAATATGTTTTGACTACGTTAAGAAAATTGTGCATGATAAGAGAAACATGAAATTCAGTTGTTTGTTTATGATTGTTTTGATTATTTAAAACGATTGAAATTCAGCGAGTGAGTTTAATGCCCCATACTGATTTTCTTGTTGTAGGGGCGGTCCATGATAGAATATTTATCTCATTTATCATCATTATGCATCAGGGTTACTTTAATTATCATGTACGTTTGTATTAATTTATTCTTATAAATAAAAGATTATGAGAGAGATTAATAAGCCTCTAGAATTATTTTACAATTTAATTCTCAAGTTGGTATCAGAGCGAGTCAATCTCGTTCTGGTTTCTGTCTCGTAGCATCTGTCGTCGTCCGACGCTGCTCTCCGCCGGCCACTGCCATCAATCGCCATCCTCCGCCGTCGTATGTGTGCCGTCACAGTTCTGCCCGTCTAAACCCTTAGGGTTTTCTTGTTTCTCATTGGTACGATTAGTTTTCCTCAGATGGCAGTACTCTTAAATTCACCAAGAATGAATATCAAGAGTATTTAAGGTTAAAATCTAACAACTTTGCACAACCATCTCAATCTCCCAATACATCAATAACCTGCATTTATCAATCTATGGAAGGTCAAAATTCATGGATAATTAACTTAGGTGTTTTTTATCACATTTATGGTAATACCTCTTTGTTCTCATCTATTTCTTGTGGGGAAAAATCTCATTTCATAACCAACACAATATAATGATGATAAATAGGATAAATATCCTAACAAATATAACCATATAAGTGAGTATTTTCTTCATGTTTGTAGCTCTTAGTACAATTCTAAAGCCCTTAAAGTGTTTATTTATCTAAACATAATTATTTCTTGTCCAATCATGCTTTCTTGAGTTACAACTTGTTTTCTTCCATCAAAATTGTTTCCTATTTCCTCATTTCACGCATTCCATGAGAAATTAGAGGTAAAACAAACATATATTAATTGAAACACAAGAAAACATAAAAACACGTTAAACTTGAGAACAAACAAGATAAAAATTATGATGGAGTTGATTTATTCATAAAAATATACACACAAAAAATACGTAAAATCAACAGTTATCATAACTAAACATTGTATTAGTTAGATTCAAACTTTACGAAATTTTATCATGTAAGTACCTTTTACATATTTGGGATTTGAACTTTAACTAATAGGTTACACATGTATGTAGATTTGTGCTTAATGAATGACTATAATTTAAATAAGTTTTGAATTTAATGAGTAACTTGTAAATGTTAATGATGCGAGCTTCAATAACTTGTATATGTTTGAGAATAAAAGCTTTTACGAGTTACTTGTAGATGGTTAGAGATTTGAGCTTAATTCATGATTTTAATTTAAGTATCTTATGGGTACTTGAGGATTCAAGCTTTAAAAAATAGCTTGTGAATATTTGAAATTCAAGCTCTAATTAATAGTTTGGAAACTGAAGATCCAATTTGATTTAATATTTAAGTATATATCCAATAACTTGGATTTGAGAAGACTCTCATAAAATAAATAAATAAAATGTTATTAAGAAGGTGTCTTATTTTAGAAAAACTTTCACTTTTTTACTAAATTTATATATTTTTTTTTATCTAGGTAAAGCTTAAACATTAAAAAATAAATATTTTTTAAAATATTGTGATAAATAAAAAAAACAATAATAAAAAGAAAACAAAATAAAAAAAAAACTAACTTTCAAACTGTTTGGCCCGTCTTAAACCCCTTCACAACTATATTCAGTTGTTTGGGGCTTAGGTACTATACCGTGCTTACTAGTTGTCCCTCTCGAAAGTTGTCCATAACTCACGGCGTATAATGGTTGAAGCTACCACAGTTGGGCGACAACACCATCAGCAGGTAAGCAGGAAAACATTAATGGGCAATTATTAGGTTTAATGGTCATATCAAATACAAATATACGATATTAATGAGTAATTAACATGTTATATTGCCTAAAAATATATTGTATTAATGGATAGTTAATGGGCTTGATGGTTATGAAGCCTATAAATACGAGATTAATGTCTAGGTAAAGACACTTTTTTCGAGAACCATATTAGGATCTTCTCGAGAAACATATCTGACTTGACTGTTGAAGAGTTCTCTGCATGTCAACCACCAATAAGGAAAGAACAGTTGAAAAATTGGATGGTCGGAGGAGTTCAAAGAAGAGTTGAGTGATCAGAGGAGAGTGAAAAATTGGACGATCGACCTTAGACCCTTCCAATCAAAACACTAACTAATTAAAAAATATTAATAAGTAAATACATATACTATTAAAAATGTATTTTTTAAAGTTACTCTAAGATACAAGAAAGAATAAAAAATGAACAAAAGAAAGGAGATAAGATAAAATTACATTCAATGAATGCAATCACGACTATGGAAAAATTAGTTAATTAAAAATAATTAATTTACAAATTTATGAAGTGAAGGAGAAAAGGAAGGGGTGTAAGACAAGAGAGAAAGAAAATTTGGAACAAGGGATTGTAAGAAAGTTTAATCATCTAAAGTATTATCCGGTGTCACTCCAATTATGTGTCTTCCTAAGTTTTTATTTATTTACAATTATTTATTTCATTTCATTTATATCTAGTTGTGTACTACCATTTTAAATTAATTTATATTTTGTTATTATATTTGTTTATGACATTCTAATTCACAAATTTATTTAAAGTTATTGCTTTGATTTTTATTTTATTTTAAACATCATGAATATATATATATATATATATATATATATATATATATATATATATATATATAAAGTAAAAATAAATATTTTTTATACAATAAATTTATATAAAAGAAAGTTATTTATATGTTTTATTATTATTTTTATTTTTTTTATAATTTTTGGATGATGTATAGATTATTAGTAAAGAAAAATGACATGATAGTCATTACATTTTACAATCCTTATAAATATCCAAAAGACCAATGAAAAAGTATTTATGATCACATTTTCAAAACCAATAAATATATACACATATATGTCTCGTTCTCGTTTTCATCTTTATCTTATCTGTTTCATTCTCATTTTCCATCTTTATCACCATTTTAAATTGCCAATACAATTTTTAGTTTGTTAAGTAACTTAAAAATAATGTTAATCTTTAATATACCCTATTATCTTTAATTTTGTTTTATTTGAGTAACAAAATTTTTGCTACACAATTATTCACCAACTCTCTCAATAGTTCAGTTGTTTCATATCTACTTGAAAATTTGTTCTTTTGTTACACAATTTTTTATCTCATTTATTAACAATTTGACTAGTTAAATATTCATTAAGTTCAATCAAATCTGTAAGATACTTCCCATTTCAATATTTAAAACAATAATAGAAAATTATTTACCTATTTTCGTAGACTCTTGACATTTATGCATTTGTTACTTGGTACTATATTTTAATATTTATGCAAATTTCTTCTTAAGAAAAAGATTTTGCATATTTTAACGTTGAATTTTTTATAATATATAAAAGTCACAATGAAAAGTAAGCCATGAATCATTGATCCACCAAGGGGTGGCTTAACTCACAGAAGATTTGTACATTAATAAGTTTAGCTCGCCTCACAGAATCACGAGTTTGTAGGCTTACAGGCTGACTTTGAATAAACTACAAAATAATAAAAAAATATATTTCAACTTCTAATTCTGTATTTGAATATTTAATAAAAATAAAAATATAGTTGAAGTATATCAATTATAAAAAAAATTAAAAGATCAATAATTCTCTATTTACTACAAAAATACTGAAATATATTATGAATAAAAAAGAAAAAAAAATTAAGTCTGTATCTATACGTATATAATATAAATGAAATAATATTAAATATATTTACCGTACAAACAAAACAATACTTCGTCGTTACAAATCTTTTTAAGGATTTAAAGAGGACATAACTTTCCTTAACCTTTTGTTCTAAATTTTTTCAAAGTGAATATATATATATATATATATATATATATATATATATTAACCGTCCAACATTTTTATTTTAAGCTTGTGGCTTTCTCAAAATTAAATATCTTTAAAAACGATTATAAATTAAATTCTCGAAAATAAATTCTTATGAAAAATAAACTCATTTTAAAGATGCCAAAGTAGTACTATTATTCTCCCATGAAGATCGAGATAAATTTGAATGGAAATTGGTGTCTCAAATAAGAGATATGGACTTGTGAAGTGTAATTCATGATAAGTATAAAGGATGAATTCATAAGTTTTAATGTTTTTTATATTTAAGGAAATCCTTTTGAAGATAAAAATATTAGCTATTATTCATGGTTTAGTTTGTTTTATAAATTTTATTTGGGTATAAATACATTTTAATAACAAGGTATACTAATGGGGACACGAAATGGAATTAGATGCATACATATGAAGACTGTGTTAAAAAGAATATGATGTTAAAGAGGATATATTTTTTTTTTTAAAAAATGACTATTTTACTGTAAATTTTTTAAGTAATTTGAACATTTCAGTCCAAAAGATTGACCAAGTACTCCTATTTTTGTTAATGGAGTGCTGTATAAGCAATTATTGCTTATTTAGATTTTTTGTTTATTTTCCATGCATAATAAAAGCCAATAAAAGGTATTAAGTTTGGTTATATGTAAAAGGAAATCTAAAATAAATTTAAAAAATGCTTACACATACTATTTTTTATCAATTTAATCTTTAAATACACTGATAGAAAATTGCACGACTTTTCAAATTTCAAATTAAGATGACTAATTTCAAATTAAAATACATGCTATATCTTTATTTGATTTAAAAGTGTTCGAACTCAATAGATCCTCGGTGGAATCAAGTTTGTTTTATCTTCCCCGTGGAGTTTCATTTTCCAAAGCGATAATAGATTAATAGATTAATGGATTTATTAATTAATAATAGGATTAATATATTTTTTTTTAAAAAAGGTTGGCGAAAAAATTAGAAATGTGTGATTGCTGTTTTAAAACGTGATAATGGTGAGTTTGAGGGACCGAAATCGAGTTAAAGGAAGCGCAATTCTATGACCCGTTTTTCCGAGAGGCTCCGTTTGCGCTGGTTGTTTCCGAAACCGACCCGTTTTCTCGCTCTTGTTTCTCTCTCCACTCTCCACAATCTCTGCAAGTCCCTCGTTGGCTTCCTACTCTCTCAAACCCTACCCTTCCTCGCTATGGATAACTTCTTCTCCGACTACCTCACCGATGACCTCGATTCCTCCCCCTACCGTCCCCACCGCCGCTTCCTCCAAGACCACGACCTTGATTTTGCCCACGAGAGGGTCTACCTCCTCCCCTACAGGTACCTACCGCACGCAATCATTCTTTTCATTCTTTGTGTCAGGAAAAACCAAAAATGTCTTTCGGATTCTTTCAATTGCTTGCATTGGAATGTATTTTGTTATTTGTTGTGGGAATTTGATTTTGCTGCTCTGGTGGAGTGAAGGTGGCTGGTGGAAATGGAAGGTGAAGCTGATCGAAGAGAGGGTGTGCTTTATACGGTGACGTGTAATTCCGATTCCGACTCCGAGATTTCGCTTCATCTGAGGAAGGAGGAGGAGCGCCACAAGATTGGGGTTTCTGGTCGTCAGTATGCGTTGGTTTCCGAGGGAGTTTGGTTGCGAACACTCAAACGGTGAGTCACCGTAATGGTGCGGTTCTTACTTGAGGGTGCTGTTTTATTGAGATTAAGCGATGCTTTGACGTGTTTATAGCGATTGTGGGTTTTTGCATGTTTTAGGCATGGTGTCTATTTTTGTATTGTTTGCTCATTCATTCGTTTTTTGGATTAGAAGTTGCCTAATGGGATAGTCTACATAATTGTCTGTGTGTGGTATTGAGGAAGTCCACTGGGGTGTTGGTGTGCCTTGCATTTTCAGCTCTAAGATGCAGTCTCCATCGACAAGGCCAAAATGTCTGTCCCCAGGCTGTACCCACTATATCAAGGGTTCATTAGAGACCTTAGTTGAAACAGCATCAGGCCTGTCTGATACTAAGTCAACACTAGGAACACTCATAATAGTTCACAATCACATCCTTTACCTGCTCTTGCTCCTCAAGCTGGTGCAAATACTAAGAGCCTAAAAAGTTGAAGTGGTGGATAATCATTTAAGGATCAGATTGTAAATGTTCCTCCAATACAGCCTGTGGGTAATTATCATATGATGTTGACAGAAATGGTTGCAAGAACAACTGATTGCAGTAAATGAGTCGTGCAGCAATAAGATACCCTGTATGCTAGGAGTATCCCACTCGGTGTGTTTGTCTTTCTTTAGTGCCAGTGTGACACTAAATAACCATCACGTTTTACTAAGAATGGGAAGCTATGTCCTTTTATGCCATTTATTCTGGCCCCTTCCCTTTCATTGTGTCTGTGTTGCCGCAATTCACTTTTCTGGATCATTCTATGCGTAGTTATAGAAATCCAACATTAATTTGCATTTTGTTGCTGCTTTTCCAATGGCAAAATGATTTTAACAGCAATGAACAATATAAGTCTTCTACTGATGAATGTTCTTCTGCCAGATTATTTCCATTTCAAGCTAGAAAACATTTCTAGATGGTTCTTACAAGAACATATAACATACAGATGCAGTAAATTGATTCATCGTTTATCTCACTCTTCTTGAAGGTATAACGATTCTAATAATGAAGTGAAAGATTTAGGAAGCCTCTCAAATGCAGAGGATTGTTTGCCAGAATTGTTCCCCTTGCAAGTTAAGATATTTTTTTCGCTGGAAACCAGTTCACTGGAAGCAAAAATAAGCCAAAAGGTTGAATTAATGACTTTCCTGCCGCTTTAATTGTACTTTGTCTTCTATTTAAAGTAGACTTTTACAATCGATAATTGATAATAGCTGGCATGATTTCAGGAAAATGTGGCTGACTTCTATGAGAAAGCATGTGACATTTTCAATTCTGCATATAACCCCGTGAGTTAGTCATCTATTGATTTTATTGTTTTATAGTGTTTTTATATGATACATTGGTATTGTATAACTCTATTTTAATGATGTTGCAGGTGCATATTTGGGACTTCTCAGGGCAGACGACACAGTTTTTCTTGAATGACAAATCAGGATTGCCACATGATTCTTCTGGTCAATCTGTAAAAGAGGTAGTTGGTCATCCATCCTTTTTCTTCTTTATCTTCTTTTGATATAAGTTTGTTGAAGAAATTTCAATTTTGATGTGGTATAGCAAGTATATAAATGTTTGGTAACCAATTGGGGTATATTGGAATCAATCTATGTACTTGATAAATTCAAATTTTAACACATTTGTTTTTAATCTCTATATCTATTGTTTGGTTATGAAGTTTGAAAATACCAGTTACAGATATTCTGGCTGTTTATAGCATTTCAGCTGCTTCATGTATTTTCAGGTTACTTTGGAGTTACAAGTACACGGGCTTCCCGATTCTATGAGGGGTAATGGGGGCAATGAGATGATTTTAGATAGGTCTCAGATGGAATGTTCACACAGTGGTTCTGTTACAATGAATGGAAGCACTGACAATGTAGCCCCCTGCAAAACAGCCAACTATTTTCGAGGTAGTAGTTGTAGAGCAATTCGATCTTTGGGCTTGACAGGATTACAGAATCTTGGAAATACATGTTTTATGAATAGTGCCATTCAGTGTTTGGCTCACACCCCAAAGCTTGTTGATTTTTTCCTTGGAGATTACCATAAAGAGATTAATTATGAAAATCCATTGGGGATGAATGTAAGCTGTTTGTTTTCTGTTTTTAATTTGAAGTCTCATTTCTAAACATAATATTTTTTTGCAATATTTTAGTTAATTTACATTGTTTATTTTTCTCTCTATCTTTCTTTGCAATTGTTTCAGGGAGAACTAGCCCTAGCTTTTGGAGACTTGCTTAGAAAGCTGTGGGTTCCCAGATATATACCCATTGCACCAAGAACGTTCAAGATGAAACTGGCTAATTTTGCTCCTCAGTTTAGTGGTTATAGCCAGCATGACTCTCAAGTATACTTTTATCTTTTTCTTCTTATATATAATAATAATAGTAGTAGTAGTAACAATAATAATAGTTTTTTTTTATTGATGCAAAAAGTGTTAAAAACAGCTGTAGTTTCCAGGGGCATCTGCTATCATTGATGAATTGTCTTTTGTTTTGACACGAGAGGAAATAGCTTTATAGAACATTGAAGTTTCTTGCATGCAGGAGCTTCTTGCTTTTTTGTTGGATGGGTTGCATGAAGACCTTAATCGAGTGAAACGAAAGCCATATCATGAAGTTAAGGATGCAGATGGTCGTCCAGATGAAGAAGTGGCGGAAGAGTATTGGCGAAATCACCTTGCTCGCAATGACTCCATAGTAGTTGATTTGTGCCAAGTGAGTCTTATAGGGGTTTTCTCCTCTGTGATGTGAGAATCTCTTCTATAGATTTCTAAAGTAATTTTGGGTTCGGTATCCCATGTTTTTTCTTAACCCGAGATGCATTAGTAAGTTTGATGGAATCAATGAAATGGATATCTCAGAGATATTTAAATTTCTTGCAAGTCAGATTATGAGATTATTATTGAGAAGAGGATTTTCATTATAGAAGTTATTGTTATGGTGAACTGACTACTAGTTGGCACAGCACTCATTGACTGGTTACAATCACATTAATTATGAGATTTTAACTAATCTTTCTTTAGTTTTATTACCGAAGTAAAAGCTATACAGTTCCTTGGAAGCTATAACAAATCTATACTTTGTTCCCCTATCTTGTAGGGCCAGTTTCGGTCAACGCTAGTTTGCCCTATTTGCAAGAAGGTTTCTATCACATTTGACCCTTTTATGTATCTATCTCTGCCTTTACCATCTACAACGATACGGACCATGACTTTGACGGTCATAAGCACTGACGGGATTACATTGCCTTCTACACTTACGGTAACAGTACCTAAATGTGGAACACTGAAGGATCTTATTGGGGCTTTAATTACTTCTTGTTCTCTGAAAGAAGATGAAACCCTCTTGGTGGCTGAGGTATGTTGCAAAATTTAGAAATTAAATAAAAACGTTGTTTGATATATTTTGATTATAATTTATTAGGCCTTGCAAACATTTTTGTTTGCATTCTTATTAAAATTATGACTTTATGGAATTTTCTGCAGATATACAAGAATAATATTTTTCGAGTATTCGAGAATCCTTCTGAATCATTAGGTGAAATTAGAGATCAAGATAAAGTTGTTGCTTATCGAATGCAGAAGGATACTGAAACTACTCCCTTGGTTGTTTTTGTCCATGAACGTTCGGTGGAAACGTAAGTTTCTCTATGCCCAATCCTTTTACAGAGAAATAATTTCTTTCATCCTTCAATGTGCTTCTGTGCATGTCATGAATAATCATCATGTGCCCTAGGGCCAGAAGTACATACTGATTCCACTGTGGCCATCATGATATGATAGAATATTTTTGTCTCATGGTATGAAGTCAATTCATGGGAGCACATACTCCTAAAGCAGTACAGATCCAACAACTTAAATTGTGGGAAACACTTATTATTGATAATTTATTTTGATGAAAATAATTGAAGTTTAATTTAATGGTGAAGATAAAAGAATGTCGATAAATAATGATAGATAGTTAAAAAATTATAAACTGGATCGTCTATTGACCGAGGGTCGTTGTGTTGGTGTTATAATATGCGTAGTAGTATGCTTACTGAGCTGGAATGGGTTGAAAGTTAACACTAAGTTGTCTAGGAATTATTCCAACTTGGTTGAAGAATGAAGATACCGATCAAGTTCAGGATGTTCAAGTTGGTCCAGGGAACGTTGCCAAATATCTCATGGCAGGAATCTTTTTTGCGAAAATTAAAGAAAGGAGTGTGTAAAATCCACGTAGTTTATATTATTCCAATCAATTGAATATTAATGTCTTTAAAACAAGGATAAAAGTTAAAATTTTGATAACTGACCGCCCCTGTATAACAAGCAGGGCTCACCCAGTTGAGAGGGAGAGAAACACAGTCTCACCACCATGAGTTAAACCGTGAATGCTTGTGGCAATAAGTCCCTTCATACTTCTTGCTAGAACATAAACTGGTTTTTTTTATTTTTATGTTAATTACAATGATATACGTGTCTAAAAATAAATAAGATTATGAATGTTTATTTGAAAAAAAAACTAAAACTATAAATATATTGGTTAGGATACAACTAAAAATGATTTTATATTTGTATGTATAAAATTAATAATTATATATATCTATTATAGTTATAGAATCTAAAAAGTTAGTGGGGGCAATTGCCCCCAAGGATTTAAGAATTTCACATTTTTCACCGCTCCAAGATTTTGATTAAAAACTCTTTAGACTTCATCATCATAAATTTTTTGTATATACCCAAGCAACCTACCTAGTTGTCTAAGAATGTTAACATGGTTGGTTTATGTAAGTTGGGCTGATATGCCTTGACTGTCGAGCGTACACGTTTATCGGGTCTTCTGCAATAGCTTTTGTTTCTGAAATGCTTATGCTAGCAAATTTTGGTGTTAAATGTCTGGCGTATTTGTTAGGTGAGTCTGCTTTTTGAAATTATTCTGTCGGTCGTTTCTCAATCTGCTTACATTAATAACTTTGTGTTTTATTTGGTGCACTAAATTTATTGTCATGTATTACAGTTGTGGGAAGGAAGGGTTGTTTGGTATTCCCCTTGTAACAAGGTTGTCCAATATTTCTTGTGGATATGATGTTCAAAGGGAGTTTCTGAAGATAATCAATCCATTTATGATGCGCGCTAAAGATGTATCGGATGATTGTGAAAATAATGAAGGTATTAGTAAAAGACCAAGTGAAGATGATGAATGGGGGGATACTACTAACTCCTGCGCAATAGGAAATGATACAGACTCAATCATTGGAACAGATGATGGCATACATTTGTCGACTGACTTTGAATTCCACTTACATGGAATGGAGAATAGCAAGATAATATTGGACAAACCATTAACAGTGACAACATTTCCCAGAAAGGAGCCTCCGGTAGTTGTCGTACTATGGTCGGATAAGATGCTTAAAATGTATAATACATCTCTGCTTGACTCATTGCCCGAGGTTTTCAAGTCCCAGCTATTCACCAAGAGAATACAAGAATCAGTTTCTATTTACAAGTGTCTTGAATCCTTCTTGAAAGAAGAACCTCTTGGGCCAGAAGACATGTGGTTAGTTGATATATGATATATCGTTTCTGTTATTTTATCTATGGAGATTTTATTCTTTTATGCTTGAGAACATAACGTCTTCAACACTACTGGCATCATGTTTTTATATGTTAATCAAAACCGATGTCCTGTATTCTGAAGGCAAGATGTATATTACAGTCGTTCTGATGTTTTTATATTGCAATTTGGTGTACACAAGGTACTGTCCTAACTGCAAAAAACCTCAGCAAGCAACTAAAAAACTAGATCTTTGGAGATTGCCTGAGATCCTTGTTGTTCATTTGAAGAGGTTCTCGTACAGCCGATACTTGAAGAACAAGCTGGAAACATTTGTTGATTTTCCAATTAATAATCTGGACTTGTCAACATATGTAGCATATGGGAATAGTCAGTCTACCGACCGCTATGAGTTATACGCTATTAGTTGTCATTATGGAGGGTTAGGAGGAGGTCACTATACAGCATTTGTCCGAGTAAGTACCTGACAATTTGTAATATCTCTAACTCCGTTAAAACATTACAATGAACTATTCTTTTTTATTATATTAGGATGTAACTATGTATCCGTAGAAAAACCAAGAGCTTGGTTGGTTAAAGAAGACATTTGTTTTCTTTTATGTACTCATTCATTTTTACCTGAATTTCCTGTTTCCACAATTTCTATTTCAAATATTTATAATCAGGGAACAAATTTTTTGTAACGTGAAATGAAAACAATATTTTTCAAATCAAACAGGTCCCCTATATTCCATTAGGTTACAATGGCAAACAATTTGTTGATAGGAGTGGCCAGTGGTGTGGTAAAAGAGCTTTGGAGATTACCTGTGACGGTGAAATATTTTTTGTGGTTTAGCTTTTTAGAAGTTCGCTCCGGAGGTGTTAGAGCACATAAGCTGTTCATATAGTCTTATAATTTTCATGTAGTAAATAAATCTTTTACAATTGTAAGTTACATATGCAGTATAATTAGTTTTAATTTGACATTGTTAATCACATGGATTTATTTTAGTTGATAGTTTTTTGGGTTATTTAGCCAATGTTTTTCAATGGTTAGTTTATTCTACACATTCTACTAATAATTATAATTAAGCTTATACAAGAGTTTTTATTTTCTTGCAGTATGGCTATGATAAATGGTATGATTTTGATGACAGCAGAGTCGAACCTGTTAATGAGGACACGATAAAGACTCCTGCTGCTTATGTTCTTTTCTACAGGAAAGTTTAGATTAATAATTTGGAGGCAATTGTGTAAAATTAGACACAGCTACATGGAATGCTCGAGGCTTTTCAGACCAATACACGGTTGCCTGATTTCCTCTAAATTGCTGCATAAGCGGCACCGGTTGGGTTTTACTGGGAGAAGTGAAGAGAAATGCAAAGAATTTAATATTGTACAGCTTTTAGAAGCTACAGGTAAAATGAGGGTAGCACTTCAATTTTTAAACTCTCAGGTTAGATTAATTACACATGTTTGCATGTACATATGCATCCTAAAATTGTTTAACCGATTTTTTTAGTAGATGTAGTTTAAACCATGATTATAAATGGAAAATTACACATTTTTTGCCTCGTTTATTTTCCAAATGATATAGTCAAACTATAAGCTCTTGCATGTTAAGTAATAATCAATGTCATGATGATAAAAATGTTTGACATACTTATGATTTTACCTTAAAAAATAAATTTAGATTTAGGTCTCATTTAATTTTGTAACACTGTCTTGTAAGATTTGTATCTATTTAGAATATTAGTGGTTTGATAGTTTATTTTAAAATGAACTTTGTATTAGAATACATATATATAAAGAGAGAGAGATTATTTTCTTCCCTGTAGGTGTTAATAGGACGATGTCCATGCATTATTATCATAAAAGCATGTAGATGTTTGCCATTTGATGTACACAACCGGATTGCTTCTATTTTAATGCTTTTAAGCTCGTTGATCCCTCAAATTTTATTTGGATTAGTGGATGGATTTAAGAGAATGGAAAAAGATAGACTTGAGAGGAAAGATAGGGAAGGGAAGTTGTTTTGATTAATGAAAAGATAATAGGAAGTGTAAGAAAATGAGATAAAAGTTTATGAGTAATTCGATTAATGGGAATTTTAAAAGAAATGTTTTACTAGAAAAAATTTAGAAATAATCAAATTGTCCATCAGGTGAAAATTATTATTATTTTAGTTGTTACAATAATTATGGTTTTTATTATTATAATTATAATTATTATTTGTGGTTAATATTATTATAATTTTTATTATCCAACACCATCGAACCTTAACCCAGAGCTACTCTTTAAGCTCTTGCTTCGCATCGCCGCTCTCCAGCTTTCCTAATGTGGAGCACTACGTGCGTCTAAAGAAGTCGACTGACGTCTAAGTTTCGTCATGGTGATGTAATTGATCGACTCAATGACGTGCGACATTCGAAATCGTCACCATGAAGGCTACACCAATAACGGAAGCAACCACCACACCATTTTATCACCTACAACACAAGAATCTATTATTGAACAAATAAAAAAACAAGAGAATAAATTTTTAAATAAAGAGTGTTGAAAATCGATTCTCTCTAAAAACAGAAGCAGAAGAATCAATTATCCTTCAAATGGCTAAGAATTGATTTTGTCTCAGTCTAGAATGTTGTGAGTCGATTCTCTTTTAGTGGAGAAAAGCATGATGCTTGCGTAAAAACTACCTTTTTTTTTTCTTGTCACTCTCTTCCATTCCCATCGAGGAAACCGCTAACTCTATAGGACGTTTGACCAAGTGTAAATTTAAATTATAGTTGGGAATTTTTAAGAATATGTTTACTCTCAGAAGTGACATTTCTCACTTATGTTGTTCATTTAATCTCTAGAAGTATTTTTCAAAACTTCAATCCAAACAATATAAGTTTAAACCCAGCAAAAAATATGCTTAGTTTCTCTGGCAGTTTAGTAAGCCAGCTTTTAGAACCTTTAGGCCTAGACGTTTTTTCAATGATGTTTGTCGTGGAAATATCTTATTTACGTTTTTAAAATATACGTAGCTTGTGCTTCGGTTAAATATATTGAACTACCATCTATTCCGAACTTCTTAATTGAAGATATAATCGAATAATGATCGGTCAGGATACAAATTTTTAGGACATGATTTTCATAAATTCTTTTTAATTTTATTAGAATAATTCTTTTTAATTTTATTCATTTAAATATTTTTTATAAAACAAATTTAATTTATATAAATATCATTTTATATTATTTTTAAATCTCTTTAAAACGTTTTTTAATCTATCTTATCATTTAATTCACTCACAAATTTTATTTATAAATCCATCCATTTTCACTCTCAAATTTCTTAAAAAAAGTAACACAAATTTTATTCTCAAATTGTTCCGGATTCACTTATTCATTCATCAGTATTCCCACGTAGACAGCCTAATGTGTGTGGTAGGAGTAAAAGAGCACTAATATCTTAAGCATAAAAGGAAAAGCACTGAATACCTTTTCAGTGCGCAGCTGCTGATACTTTCTGGCAACACAGTCTTAGTAGCGAGCGAGGTCGAGGTTCTTTTTCCTATCTCAATCTCTTTCGTGTTCTATTCACACATGAATTATTTGTTCATCCATCGTCGGAAATATCAATTCCCATTGCCCAGCTATGGGCTTTTTTTAACCTCAAACAGAGCATCTGGGTACATGGAAAGGACTTCATAGTTGTTAAAACTTACTAAATTTATTCATCTAACCATCAACTAAAACGAGCAATACATTGATTCATTTCTTCATGTAAGTTTTGGAGAGTCCTTCTCTGGTTGAATTTGTCACTCTTCTGTAATTACTTTGCTCTTTGTGATGGTGAATTGAATTTGAGTTAAGGTGGGGGGATTGCTTTGAAAATTGATTTTGGAAGGGGTTTAATGTTCTGTTTCCATTTTGTTATTGTATTTTAGGGCTAATGTTGCAGATCTTTCATTATCCTTTGCCTTTATTTGAATAGTTTAGGAGTGGGAATGCGGGGCTGGCATTTGGTGCTTAATTGTCTGTGAGTTCAGGACAGGTTATGTTAGGAAGTGTTCTGGATTTGACATGCACTTGGGTGGAGCTTTCTGTTTTTAACTTAAATATTTGAAGGTCTATTGTGGGAAATAATGAAATGCTTGATAAATCAGATGCACGAAGTGAAAGAATAATGTTTTGCAGATCTCGATCAAATTGTCTAGAATATACAGGCCCTATCTATTCTTTATATGTTTAAGTATATGCTTGATTTTCCAACAATAAAATACATGTTTAATTCCAAATTTTTGACACATTTATTCCCATCCAACAGAAGTGTTTTTTTTTCTTTGTAAAATTCAAAGACGTAGTAAAAACGTGTAAGTAAATGCAGTAAATATTACGTCAATGCCATCATCAGCTGTCCATTATTTAGACAAATACTTTAGCAGATTTTGGATCTGGTTTCCAAAATATATTTTTGGAGTTAGATGTTTAGGATCTACACATTGAACTGGATTCATAAGTTTGATAATCAAGGTGAGTGTTTTTTCCTTCAGTTTTTTTTTTTTATATAAATGTCTATGATTGTGTTGGTAACGGTGAACTGTGAACATATATGGTTGTCTCCTGGGATAAATATTTTCAATACAGCCTAATATTTTTGTATTATAATTTTTTTTACCCATCGGTACATTTTACTGCAGTTTTAAAATCGCAGGACGTTGTTCTCAAGGTTTTAAGCAGTTCCAGATTTTTTATCATATCAGTTGAAAGAATTTCTGAGAGGTAAGACTTTCAAAAACAGATTAAATAAATATACTGAGATGCCTATCTACTGCAATTTATTGGGATCTGCATCATTTTCAATTATTGGTGGCATTTTGAGCCACTTTTGGGTAGAACAAATGGGTCCTAAATTTGCTTTATTGTTTGTTGTTTTGTGAATGGTACTAACTAAAATTACACACTCGTAGAACTGTAGTTTATTATAAATGTTTATTATAGCATAATGGAGAAGAGTAAATTAGGAAGTGATTGATGTCCTTTGTAGAACTTATATCAGTGATTGATGTTGTCATATTATGCAATAATTTAGGAGCTCTCTGTTAGTAAGAGATGCCATACTCTTATCTTTATATTGGTATAAAAGATGCTCATATCAGATTTTTTTTATAATTTTCGTAGATATAACCCTGAACAGGTTAAGTGCCTGCTCTTTTTTAACACAATTGTTAGTTTTCTTACTAATTCAGCTTAAATACAAATGTCAGATAGTTTATAATAGTCTTTTTTAACACAATAAAGGGCTAAAGGAATCTTTGTGACAGTTTCAATCTTCAGCTGTGTAGTTGCTTCAAAAGAAGTTATCGTGCTTATGAGAATCTCAACTAATTTGTTCAGTTGGATAAAAAGTAGTTTGAAACCGGAAAACTAGACATTGTGGAATGTATAAATTGTTTTGCTATTACTATGTTAAAAGTCTATTTACTTGAACCTCGTAGCCTGAAATCACAACTCATCTCAACACAAAATGATGAATAAGCATAGAGTGAAACTGCCGCAAAGATGCATCCCTTTATTCTACTCACCATAATGACGTTATCTGTACGGATTTTTATTTTAGTTATTACAATTAAAACTATATACTTTTGGTGTTTTTGGTTTGGCTGGAAGAAAGTGGGTCTTATTGGATCTCTACGAATGATTTTTTTAAGTTTATGTTTATGTTTGGTTGACTGGGTTAAGTCGTATAAAATTCAATAAACGACCTTTTCTGTTACTGAACTTGTGATTCCCCTAATAGCACAGAGGTGCTAAACGATGACAACTTATGTTTTTACTGTATACTTGTGTGGTTAACAGACTACATTCTGGACTCGAATGTGCATGGTGTATGTACATGATATTACCGAGCAAGTCAAGGTTCAATGTTTCAGTCTTGATTATTAGCTAAAGCATTTTCTGTTTAGCAATTCAATGTACATGATTTATACTTTAGTTCTGTTGTTTCTTTTATTTACTGCTGCCCTGACGTACATGGTTCACTATGAATCAGTAGGAAATAGTTTAACAAAGGACACTTTATTTTACATTTTATTTTATTTTTAAAATCATTATGCCTTTACATTTCTATTTGCCAATTATTTTAGCTAAAATGGAATCTGATGCACTGGCATGGGGAGACAAACTCGTACTGAGGGGATTGTCATTTCATGGCTTCCATGGAGCAAAGCCAGAAGAAAGGAAACTAGGCCAGAAGTTCGTGGTAGATATAGATGCTTGGATGGATCTTGCAGCTGCTGGAAAAACTGATCACTTATCAGATACAGTCAGTTACACAGAAATATATGAGTAAGCGGTCAACAATTTAGAACGTCTTTGTTCTGCTTTCGTCATTTGATTGCACAACCTTCTAGTCTCACTCTTCTTATTGTTGAGTGTGCTAATTTAGTAGTTGTAATTTTATTAACATGTCAATAATTTGTGGTGCAGTATAGCCAAGGAAATTCTGGAAGGGTCACCTCACAACCTTCTGGAATCAGTGGCCCAAAAAATTGCAATAACTACTCTGACAAATCATAAAGAAATTTTAGCTGTTCGAGTGAAGGTTGGAAAGCCTCATGTGGCAGTTCGAGGTCCAGTTGAGTACTTAGGCGTTGAGATTTATAGACGGAGGAGCGATTTGTCAGGCTAAACTTTCATATTTGTTTTGGTTTCATTCTCATATTTACTGCTGCAGAGCTTTTAACACTACATATTTCCAAACAATGCAAAGCACCTTATTAAATTTTAATTAATGGTATGTGTGGGTCCACGTAGATGAAGATATATGTTCCATTTCTTTATTTGTTTATTTGTGCTGCACTATACATTTTGGGTTGTGTGGATTAAAAAAAATTGATGTAAAGATGAACGTGTATGATATCATGAGTATAATAAATTAAAAAAATATATTTTAATAGAAAAAATGAGATAATTATTATTTAATCCTTTAAAATATACGTAGCTTGTGCTTCGGTTAAATATATTGAACTACCATCTATTCCGAACTTCTTAATTGAAGATATAATCGAATAATGATCGGTCAGGATACAAATTTTTAGGACATGATTTTCATAAATTCTTTTTAATTTTATTAGAATAATTCTTTTTAATTTTATTCATTTAAATATTTTTTATAAAACAAATTTAATTTATATAAATATCATTTTATATTATTTTTAAATCTCTTTAAAACGTTTTTTAATCTATCTTATCATTTAATTCACTCACAAATTTTATTTATAAATCCATCCATTTTCACTCTCAAATTTCTTAAAAAAAGTAACACAAATTTTATTCTCAAATTGTTCCGGATTCACTTATTCATTCATCAGTATTCCCACGTAGACAGCCTAATGTGTGTGGTAGGAGTAAAAGAGCACTAATATCTTAAGCATAAAAGGAAAAGCACTGAATACCTTTTCAGTGCGCAGCTGCTGATACTTTCTGGCAACACAGTCTTAGTAGCGAGCGAGGTCGAGGTTCTTTTTCCTATCTCAATCTCTTTCGTGTTCTATTCACACATGAATTATTTGTTCATCCATCGTCGGAAATATCAATTCCCATTGCCCAGCTATGGGCTTTTTTTAACCTCAAACAGAGCATCTGGGTACATGGAAAGGACTTCATAGTTGTTAAAACTTACTAAATTTATTCATCTAACCATCAACTAAAACGAGCAATACATTGATTCATTTCTTCATGTAAGTTTTGGAGAGTCCTTCTCTGGTTGAATTTGTCACTCTTCTGTAATTACTTTGCTCTTTGTGATGGTGAATTGAATTTGAGTTAAGGTGGGGGGATTGCTTTGAAAATTGATTTTGGAAGGGGTTTAATGTTCTGTTTCCATTTTGTTATTGTATTTTAGGGCTAATGTTGCAGATCTTTCATTATCCTTTGCCTTTATTTGAATAGTTTAGGAGTGGGAATGCGGGGCTGGCATTTGGTGCTTAATTGTCTGTGAGTTCAGGACAGGTTATGTTAGGAAGTGTTCTGGATTTGACATGCACTTGGGTGGAGCTTTCTGTTTTTAACTTAAATATTTGAAGGTCTATTGTGGGAAATAATGAAATGCTTGATAAATCAGATGCACGAAGTGAAAGAATAATGTTTTGCAGATCTCGATCAAATTGTCTAGAATATACAGGCCCTATCTATTCTTTATATGTTTAAGTATATGCTTGATTTTCCAACAATAAAATACATGTTTAATTCCAAATTTTTGACACATTTATTCCCATCCAACAGAAGTGTTTTTTTTTCTTTGTAAAATTCAAAGACGTAGTAAAAACGTGTAAGTAAATGCAGTAAATATTACGTCAATGCCATCATCAGCTGTCCATTATTTAGACAAATACTTTAGCAGATTTTGGATCTGGTTTCCAAAATATATTTTTGGAGTTAGATGTTTAGGATCTACACATTGAACTGGATTCATAAGTTTGATAATCAAGGTGAGTGTTTTTTCCTTCAGTTTTTTTTTTTTATATAAATGTCTATGATTGTGTTGGTAACGGTGAACTGTGAACATATATGGTTGTCTCCTGGGATAAATATTTTCAATACAGCCTAATATTTTTGTATTATAATTTTTTTTACCCATCGGTACATTTTACTGCAGTTTTAAAATCGCAGGACGTTGTTCTCAAGGTTTTAAGCAGTTCCAGATTTTTTATCATATCAGTTGAAAGAATTTCTGAGAGGTAAGACTTTCAAAAACAGATTAAATAAATATACTGAGATGCCTATCTACTGCAATTTATTGGGATCTGCATCATTTTCAATTATTGGTGGCATTTTGAGCCACTTTTGGGTAGAACAAATGGGTCCTAAATTTGCTTTATTGTTTGTTGTTTTGTGAATGGTACTAACTAAAATTACACACTCGTAGAACTGTAGTTTATTATAAATGTTTATTATAGCATAATGGAGAAGAGTAAATTAGGAAGTGATTGATGTCCTTTGTAGAACTTATATCAGTGATTGATGTTGTCATATTATGCAATAATTTAGGAGCTCTCTGTTAGTAAGAGATGCCATACTCTTATCTTTATATTGGTATAAAAGATGCTCATATCAGATTTTTTTTATAATTTTCGTAGATATAACCCTGAACAGGTTAAGTGCCTGCTCTTTTTTAACACAATTGTTAGTTTTCTTACTAATTCAGCTTAAATACAAATGTCAGATAGTTTATAATAGTCTTTTTTAACACAATAAAGGGCTAAAGGAATCTTTGTGACAGTTTCAATCTTCAGCTGTGTAGTTGCTTCAAAAGAAGTTATCGTGCTTATGAGAATCTCAACTAATTTGTTCAGTTGGATAAAAAGTAGTTTGAAACCGGAAAACTAGACATTGTGGAATGTATAAATTGTTTTGCTATTACTATGTTAAAAGTCTATTTACTTGAACCTCGTAGCCTGAAATCACAACTCATCTCAACACAAAATGATGAATAAGCATAGAGTGAAACTGCCGCAAAGATGCATCCCTTTATTCTACTCACCATAATGACGTTATCTGTACGGATTTTTATTTTAGTTATTACAATTAAAACTATATACTTTTGGTGTTTTTGGTTTGGCTGGAAGAAAGTGGGTCTGATTGGATCTCTACGAATGATTTTTTTAAGTTTATGTTTATGTTTGGTTGACTGGGTTAAGTCGTATAAAATTCAATAAACGACCTTTTCTGTTACTGAACGTGTGATTCCCCTAATAGCACAGAGGTGCTAAACGATGACAACTTATGTTTTTACTGTATACTTGTGTGGTTAACAGACTACATTCTGGACTCGAATGTGCATGGTGTATGTACATGATATTACCGAGCAAGCCAAGGTTCAATGTTTCAGTCTTGATTATTAGCTAAAGCATTTTCTGTTTAGCAATTCAATGTACATGATTTATACTTTAGTTCTGTTGTTTCTTTGATTTACTGCTGCCCTGACGTACATGGTTCACTATGAATCAGTAGGAAATAGTTTAACAAAGGACACTTTATTTTACATTTTATTTTATTTTTAAAATCATTATGCCTTTACATTTCTATTTGCCAATTATTTTAGCTAAAATGGAATCTGATGCACTGGCATGGGGAGACAAACTCGTACTGAGGGGATTGTCATTTCATGGCTTCCATGGAGCAAAGCCAGAAGAAAGGAAACTAGGCCAGAAGTTCGTGGTAGATATAGATGCTTGGATGGATCTTGCAGCTGCTGGAAAAACTGATCACTTATCAGATACAGTCAGTTACACAGAAATATATGAGTAAGCGGTCAACAATTTAGAACGTCTTTGTTCTGCTTTCGTCATTTGATTGCACAACCTTCTAGTCTCACTCTTCTTATTGTTGAGTGTGCTAATTTAGTAGTTGTAATTTTATTAACATGTCAATAATTTGTGGTGCAGTATAGCCAAGGAAATTCTGGAAGGGTCACCTCACAACCTTCTGGAATCAGTGGCCCAAAAAATTGCAATAACTACTCTGACAAATCATAAAGAAATTTTAGCTGTTCGAGTGAAGGTTGGAAAGCCTCATGTGGCAGTTCGAGGTCCAGTTGAGTACTTAGGCGTTGAGATTTATAGACGGAGGAGCGATTTGTCAGGCTAAACTTTCATATTTGTTTTGGTTTCATTCTCATATTTACTGCTGCAGAGCTTTTAACACTACATATTTCCAAACAATGCAAAGCACCTTATTAAATTTTAATTAATGGTATGTGTGGGTCCACGTAGATGAAGATATATGTTCCATTTCTTTATTTGTTTATTTGTGCTGCACTATACATTTTGGGTTGTGTGGATTAAAAAAAATTGATGTAAAGATGAACGTGTATGATATCATGAGTATAATAAATTAAAAAAATATATTTTAATAGAAAAAATGAGATAATTATTATTTAATCCTTAAAAATAAATATGGTATATATTTAAATGTAAATATTATTATTATTATTAATATAAAATAAATTAGTTAAATGTAGGAACATATTGTATATAACAATTGAGAAACTAAGATTGTCCCTCGTAGAGAAAAAAATATCACATTGCATCCAAGAGAATCAGTTCCATGTAAACAGAACCGATTCCTTTCAACGTGTGTCACAAATCGATCTTCGAGTGAGATCGGTTCTTTGCTACTTGCACATTGAAAACTGATTAACAACATCATGCATAATGAAAACTGATTGTAATTTAAAAAAAAAAAACTGTTAGGATAAACTTAAAATTTAGGGCTTATTAATAATTTTGTTTAAATATTATTTAATTTTAGTTTTGGGTTTAATAATATTTGATTTGATTTTGATAAAGATAAAATAGATATAGGTAGTTTTTATTTTTCATTTATTTAAAAGAGTATTATTTTATTTTATTGATATAAGATAGAGATAGATTAAGTAGATTTTATTTTGAGTCCGTTGATATTTTATTGACAATTTTTATTATTTATATTTGGCCTAAGGCCTATTTGCACCTATTTAAAAGTTGTCAAGGTTCAATGAAAAGTAATCTTAGTAAATTGAAAAGTATTATTATTTGTGTGGGTCACGTTTTTTTAAGGGACTCACCCTTAAGGGGAGTGTACCACAGTTGGGTCTATCGAGGAGAAGGTTCCTGCTAGATTATACAGAGCCAACTATATAAGGGATTGACACCACTCTTTACCAAAAACCTTAAAATAATAAATTAATGAATCTTTTATCTTTATAAATTTAGACTTGTACTTAGATTTCCAACAAAAACATAAAAAAATATAAATAATATAATATATGAAGAAAAACGCTGAGAGTTTAATAAAAATGTGGAAGTGTAAAATAATTTGGTGTTTTGACATCTATAAACTAAAATGTTATGTATAAGTTATTTCATATTATCCTTGTTTTGGAATATTTTAGTTTTCAACTCCTCTAATTAAAAATGGAGGAACGTACTTAATACTCAAACTGCTCTTATGTACGAAATCATGCCACTGATATCACATTTTGTAATTCCTAATGATAATCAATCTTGCTATTTTTCTGGATGTTACAAGAAGAAATGCCTGGAAAATAAATGGAGAATTAAATTATGAAAACATAAATAGAAAAACCAAAATCTGAAAAACATTAATTTAATAGTAGAAAAGTGGGAAAGGAAAGCTAACTTTCCAATGCTGGCATCTTCTGGAGACTTCTCCAAATCTCTCTGTGATCTATCTTCCCCCAATCTCATAAAAAAATCATCAAGAAACAAAAAAAAAAGATGACCCTATAATTTAGAGTAATGGAAATTGATTGAAAATTTTGAAATAATTTTGAGAAAATTTTGAAATAAAATTATGAAAAATTAAAACGTAATTTAACGTACATATATATTAAAAAATTTAAAGAGAAAATTTTGGATAGCCCATAACCCATGACACACATGTTCATTTATGGATTGTGTATTTTATTTGAGCATATTAACTTGTACCAACCTAACCTAACCTCAATTCATTGACTATGATGTCTGGTCCTACGATCATTCACTCTCTCTGTTTTGGTACTTGGCTGTGGTTGCAGGATCACATTCACCTTACTTTCTTCCTCTTCTTCTTATTTATTTACCATTCTTTTTTTCCTAATAAGACAAACAAGAGCATTTTCGAACAACAAACATGAACATGCTTCTTTTCTCTAAATCTATCTAGTACAACACCTTTCACCAAAATCTTTTCCATTAAATTATATGAACCTAAAATATCAATCATACTAAATAAATTCAGCTCGAGATTCAGTTTTGACTCAATCAATTTCTCAGTTACTAAAACTTAAAATGTGGGATTCAAATTTTTAAATTGTTAGTTTGTTTTAGTCTCTTGTTTCAGTTTGTTTTTTCTTTAAATTAAAAATTAAATTTTTTTTTAAAGGTTGTATTATATATTTAAAATGTTGAATATGTTAAAGTACTATATTTAAATTATTAACGCTAAAAAATTAAAATGAATTATTAATTATAATAGAATAACTTAGTCCATAAAAATTATAATTTTTTTAATTTATTCTATTAGAAATATTAATTAATCAATTAAAAATATAAAATTAAAAAAGGTTGACATTTTTTACGGAACAGGTTAAGATTTTTTAACATGTTCTTTCTTGGTAGGTCAACTTGTTCATTCAATTTGACAAGACCTTAAAATGAATTTATACTTTCTTCATTTTTCTAATAAATATTTATTTCCTTGTATTTTTAATGAAGATTTAAATATATTTTTATGCTTA